ATGTAGATGAATATGCGCTTCTCATGTTGTCCCGGTGTCTAGGCCTCGCCCGGCTGGGGCTGCAAGTAACTTCAGACTTTTACCGCTCACGCAGCTTCCATTTTTTAGGTAGAAGTTTCTTATAAAATCTGGCTGAATGACTATTCATCATAGGCAATATACCAATGATCTTCCAAGTAACAAAAGAGGATGGGAGCACTGTACAAGGTGTGGCCTGGGCCAGAGAGGAGCCGAATGTGTTGGGCAGTCAAAGACTCAAGTAGCACAATAAAACCACACATACACAAAGGCGAATCTGGGACTTAAGAGTGTCAGACGTAGATGTCTAAAAACGCCTGCCAAACTGGAGTCTATGAATTTTATGGTATCAACTGCATGGCTCGACTATGATGTTAACTTGGATAATTATACCTCTTGTGTCAGTGGAGTTGTGGATTATCCTCGTGCGCGGAAGTCGTGAATTTAATGCCACTCTAGTACAATAAATGAGAAGGGCACGGCTGAATTGATCGTTTTCAACCCAGAAATATCTTTACAAGGTTAACATGAGAAAACTGAGTCTCGAAAATACCCAAATATGAAAAAGACAATCTTCTATTTTATCAAGTGAAGCGGGAAAAGGTGAGAAAATACGGAAATTGCTTTATAATAAGCATGGGATGCAAGACAACATGTTGTTATAGCACAGCAACCATGGAAAATGCAGAAAAAAGAGAGATTTACCAAATTCACACTGGCTTCGATAGCAATAGTCTAATTTAGAAGGGAGGAGTTCGACCTCTGGTAACCACCTTCACTTTCAAATGCCTGCGATACTCACAGATAACCTACCCTAGATCAGAGAGCTAAATGCTGTTTTGTGGAAGTCTTAGTGGCAACTCTCATGAATTCTAATATGCACTAGACCAAAGTAGGAACTTGGATCTTAAAATACTGTGGAAGTGCCAGTTTTTTATTTCATTTTATTGTCCTGTCTGGGTCTATGACTATGTAGAAAGTACCGGTACCCTCTACAAACAGACCAAGGATACCTATGCCAGTAGTATATCCCCTCCTATGCCTCACATACAGCTCCCCTCAAACAATGACACCCCTTAAATTTCCTCATTCGATCATACACTTAAGGGTGGCATTTGACCATCAGTGCCTCCTCTCCCCGGCCAGCGAAACTATAGCCATCAGCGGGTGTAAAGCAGCCAGGGGCACTTGCAAAACCACTGGGTGTGGTGCTCTACTAATACCGATATCAGGATTAAATCTAAAGAGATAACTACCCTTCTAGAATGCTCAAAGAGGCCGGTCAGCTGGGCGTTACAGACTCTTACTTACCCTATAAAGTTCACACTCTCTCTTTCAAGTCTCCTTCCAACCCTTTCCAGAAGGTCGTGCTTCAATGCCAGAAAAAACTAGACAGAGTGTGATTGCTGTAGCGTAACTTATCCCAGCCACATTGTGTCGTCTACGGTGCTGGGGAGGGCATGCAATTAATGAGGCAAGCTCCCGTTTGCCATTGAAACGAATTTATAATCTTTCATTCAGGCGAGATGATTCATGGTAAAATGGAGTGAGATTCGCGCGAGAAAGGTAGGGCTTATATCGATGAGAAGTATTTGAGTGAAGATTTGCTTGAGATTGCTTTCGACTTCGATTCCGATACCACTCTTCATTGCTGTCCGTGAGATGCAGAAAGGAGAGATGCGTTTATTGTACTACTTGAGCCTATGGCTATCTAGCACATTGGACTCCTCTCTGATCCAGGCCACACCATGTACAGTGCTCCTATCCTTGTTATGATGTGAGATGAGGTAGTCGAGGTTGGGGCATCGCGTGTGGCTCAAGGCCTCAGCATACATCACTAGTGTACTGGTTAGGCGAGCATGTATATAGTTTCATATATCAACCCAGTGTAAATGGACACAGGTTTAGTCTTATACTTTCTGTCCATACACCTACAGCATAATATTGTATGAGGCTATTCACTGTCACCCGCTGAATATAACATCATTCACTCTGCAATATGACCTCCGCATAGCTCATCACCATAACAGTCCTCTTTTATTACTCGAAAGATCATTGATATGTTGCCCGTCATGGAAAGCCATTCAGCCACCTTTTCCAGGGAACCTTCTACCCAGAGAAAAACAAAACAAAAAGGAAAGCAATGGAAATTGCACGCGCGGAGAAATGTCCCAAAAAACCTGCAGCTCCAGCCAGGCGAGGCCTAGACACCGGGACCACATGAGAAGCGCATATTCATCTACATCTCCCTTTTTGGTAAAATTAGAGGACATCTTGATCAAATCCACAATCGTCGTATCGGGTATTGGGTACGCTCCGAAATCTCATCGGATGGCTTTTTCTCCATGATCAAGGGCGGGTGATGAGTAGGGCTCCGACTCTTCCATCTGATCTGATGGTGTTCTGCTTCATGATAGTGGTGATAGGGGGGTGTGTTGAGACAAACACGATACAGACGACGAAAGCGATTGGGAATCCTCATCAAAGTGAGGACTTTGTTTCTCAATATTTGTTCTGCAGACTCTACAGTGAGAGCTGTAGGTTCGTAGGGGACACCACTGACAGGTGTTGAGAATAATTCACCAGGACAAAGTGATCAATTCGAGGAAACTGGCATGAATCGATTACGACTAATTCCGTCTAGTAAATGCTTCTATTCTGCTACATAATAGGTCAGCGTGAGAGGGATTTGCTCCCAAGTAACGTTTTCCTTAATTTCCTTTGCAATCCATTTGTTTACCCATGTCTTCTTCGGGGGGTCCGTCTATCTATTTTCCAGCTCTTTATCACCAAGGCCCACTGCATGTCCTACATAGTCACTGACTCAGACAGGACAATAAAATGAATTAATAATAATATCACCAAGGCCCAGGTGTGGCCTCTACCACATCTATTTACCTATTTGTAAAAGGACGAGAATCACAGACGCTGCACGCAAAGGCTGCCACAAAATAATATATGTTTTTCTATGAAGAAAACACTTCAGTGGTTTGGTTTGTTCATTAACATGCTGGGTAAAGTGACTACCGTTGCACTCCTACTGGAGCTTAAGCACGGATGGGGCTGGGCTGGATCAGGTTAACTACCATTAAGTACATCTACCTCGTCCCACCTGAATGACCGGACCACCTCGGACTTCACCCATGTGTTGAATTATGTCAAGCCCAACCGTCCAGAGAACCCTCTTTTGGCGCGCCGAAGCGCAAACTCCTCAGCCTCGGCTACCACGCGCCCGAGCCCTTGACACCTTCGCGATCTGTAACTTTTCCCTTCTATTCAGTCCCAGCTTTGGCTCATCTCAGCTTCGCCTGATCTCGTCCAGGGATCGTTTTCTTCATTAGAGACCTCATCCAGTCGCCCACCAGGGCCTCCTCAGTTTGTATTCCCTTTTATTCCTTCATGTAGCATCTCTCTATCCTTCAGCCGATCTCGTCATCCCAGAAACTTTGTAAAATGTCCACCCCTCCGGCCTTGCCCCGTCGCTGCCATACCTCAAACGTGGAGGTCGAATACGACACTGTTACGACATTGCTTCGATCCCTTGGCTCTTATCGCTGTTTCTTTGAGGCTTGTCTTCCATTTACCAACAGTCCTATTATTAGAGTCCTCAACAATGTGCTTAGGTGAATACTTAAGCTTAATTAACGGTTGAAACGTAACATCAAAGTTTAGATTATCAAATAATCAGCAGTTTACATAGGTTCATCGATAATCGTTCTTCAACCTTCGGCCAATAAATATTCCGTAAGCTCTTACCTTTACATCAATAATCCAAACATGCCTTTGTCATCTCTTACATGACCACTGCAAAATATGTAGCCTGATCTTGCTAGATCCGTGCTAAATTCTCCTGTCTCAAGAGGGATTTGTGTGTCCATGCTGTCCTGGCATTATTTGGTAGCTATTGACCAAGATTTCCTTCTGGTTGGACTTCATGTTATCCAATTAATGGTTACATATTCTGCAGAATTTATTAGCTATTATTCACCTGTGTTTTGTATCGGGGTCTGTGAAAAGCCGGGAAGGGAAACGAAATTAACCGGAGGCCCATCCAACTTCGGGAGCTCCGATAAAAGAGACTTGAAGTCATTAGTTCCTGATATGACGTCGGTATTGTCAAAGTATTCACAATAAAAGTAGTCTAGGCTGAGTACAAAGTATCGAAATGGAACTGAGGAAATTTGGCTTGTGTACGTAGAGATGATGTAAAGCTAAAGGGAAAGCTTGAGATCTTCTTTTCTAAAACATCTTGACTGCGTCTGTTTTATTGGCAGTAGGCTAGCACTGATGATATGCCACTACACCATCCAGCTATGATCTTATTTTTTGTATCGCCTGCGCTTCCGCGGACGAAATTACTTTACACACATTGCTCTTTAGTTTGAAAAGCTTTTCCCCAATGGCGAGATCTCACTCCTTTCAAGACTTTGTCCATCTTGAGCATCATCTTTTCTGTCTATCCTGGTATCTCTTATATCCATCCGAAATATCTGTAACTCATACTTGAGCGCCTGGATTTTGACCTCCTGCGGTTATTCATACAGTCATGGCCATTTCGTTTGACAGAAACTTAGGCCAGAGACTGAGTTTATTTGAAGTTTAGTCATGAAAACAAGAATGTAACAATCTGTAATCTCAGACTTGATGGGGGTTTGATGGGAATTGATCTCGTTGGGAGGGAAAATTGACGTGGTGAGGAGCCTCGAATCATTGCCTTGTGGACCTAAACAATCAGTATTGCGAAATTTGACTAAGCTCTGACCTAGGAAACTGTTTCACATCCAGGAAGGTAGAGGACACCGTTGCCAGTTTTCCGCTCTTTTTCCCCAATTCTAGGATTAGTATTTAAGCCCGAAAACTTTTAACGGGGTCCGACAGATCTATCTGATTATCATGCACGAAGGATTTCGAAGAAAAACTTTCATTTTGTGAAAGGTCTAAACAGCTAATTTTACGTCTATTGCTCATCTGTTAGCCAATTCCTATTTTTGCCCACAGTTCTTTTTCGAAATAAGCCTATATAACTATCAACAAGTATTCGGGGTTTCAAATTTGAAAGACTTACCGGTAAATGAAGAAATCAACAACGGCAAAAGTTCCCACAATACCCGTCCACACGCCTACGATTTTTCCGTTTAACTCCCCGGCAGAGTATTTCCGAAAAGCTCCAAATCCCAAAGCAATGCCCAACATGGCAACAATGGCCGCATGCCCGGAGTATAAAGGGCTACCATCATGCGCTTCAAATCCTTCAAATTTCTTTCTGTTTTTCAACGATGGATCCTCTGTTTTCTTTTTCTGACCAGTATTCTGAGCTACCTCAGAGTTTACGTTACTTTTCACGGTATGTGCCTTTTCGAACTCAACATCTCGTTCGCGCTGCACACGGGATGCCTGAGTCTCGGTTGTAACGGGCTGGGCAACAAAGTCAGGGGGTACGGTGTGGACCTATCATATGATGAATCAGCAAGCTTCATTGCAGCTGGTTGTATTCAAAGAACGAACTGAAGGTGTATCAGTATCAATGAGGGCATTTGTGGGTGTTGAGCTTGAATTTTCAACCTCACGGAGAACTGGAGCTCGTTTCTGGGACTCTTGTTAGTTGTTGTGGCGAGCTTTTGCATTATTTTGCTGGTAAATAATTCTCAATAATTCTTAAGAAATCCAACATGCCTCTTCTCTCGTCTGTCTAGGGCCTTTCGAAGCTGCGGCTGCATATGACATTATTTTTGTGATTATCCTTTTATTTCCAACAAGTTGAGCCAAATATTTGACACGTTAATCAACAGCACAAGGAGCGGCTTTACACCACTTATTTTGTGATAAATTTAAGTAAGTTCTAGTCGTCTAGTGAGTCAAGCAAAACCTGGAAGACAACGAATATATATCAGAACATTATCATCCATGACGTAATTTAACTCGCGTCAGTTTTCTGGAAGTCTTCCATGTTTCTGCGTGATTCAATTTTTACTGTTGAGGTACCCTATGAGATCATGCAGATTTCTATTTTTATTATATTTCCAAGGATAAATTCAGTTCGGCATATAAAGCCCGTCATGATTGTTTTCTTCCGATTTTAAGGGTTTGCTTCAGGAAGTGTAATTCCACCGTTCACTTAAAGCATATTCCATTCTACCCCTTGTTCAATAAGTGCATTCTTTCATGCATTTTGGCCATCACTTCTTTTGCACGACGAATTTTTTGATGCAAACCTTTGTCTAAGGGCAGCTTTCTGAATCTTACCGGATTTCCCGAGTTGTCCATCACGCCTTCAGAGGAGCCATTCTGTGCCTACCATGATACTTTCCCTCTTCCCTTTGTCAACCAGGAGCTTGTCAAGACTGCGTCTTTGAAGCTTTGATGAATTTCCACGATTACCATTGAGATCAGCTTCTCTACAAATTTCCCCATGATAAATACGAGATTTAAGCTCAATATGCTTACTTCTTAGAGGGATAGTGCATTTAGCCCTGTTGGATTTCGGCTTATAATGATGTCATTTAATTATCTGATTTCTAAAACATTCTCAGTCTTTCTAAGTGAACGGCTAGAAATGACATGTGGTCGGTCACCGCGTACATAACAATCATACCCATACCTCTAAGATCCTCATCCCACCCTGTCCTCCCTCGCGAGTCTTAAGCACACATTTACATGCCATCTGCCCTCCATTATTTCATTTGTCAATACAATCAACAAGTCAAATCGTACTTACGTCTGCGTGACAGCAATAGATATTCGAAGGGTCACGAAGATCACTCTTAGCAATGGAGACTGTGCTAAGTCCGAAGATGTAGCTATCCTTCCTAAGCGTTGTCGAAGGTCGGACAGGCGCGCACTGCAGATTTCTGTAAACCTGTCAGAGCCACACACTCTGGCAGAATGGGCTGCAGTGAATTAGGGGTGTAGAAAGGTTGCAGATTAAAAATCAAGCAAACATTGTTGAGCGTTTAGACATGAAAGTGCGATAGCTGCTGTGTCCGTGAACTTCATGTTTGAAATGGCAAAAGATCAACCTGAGTTCGAGGAATGCAACCGCCGTGAATCGAACACGAACCTCCACCTTGGAAGGGTGGAATCCTAACCATTGGACCACGGAAGCGTTTCTTCAATGGAACAAAATACACGTATATTCTCGACTGTATTACACCGAGCCTAGCTTCAATCCCCAAAGAATCATCTTTTGTTAGTAAAGATGTCGATTCACTCTTGGTTGTCACTAGATTTGCACATATTGAAAACTGATTCTTAATCGCAGAATCGAACATAGTTCGGACGGGCCTGACCTCGAAGACCTCAGTGCAGCGCCTTCCTGCCAGGAGTTTCCGATGTCTGATGATATTCACAATCATCCACAATCATCCACAGTTACCTCGTCGCTAGTCAAAGCCTACATTATCTAAGCATTTATTTCCCATGCTATATTTTTTTTTGCTCAACAGAATCAATTCCTGCTTACCCACCAAATTGGACACACGCCAATCTTCCGTTGCACTATATGCCAAGGATGAGAGCAGCCGCAGTAGTTTCCGGGCTCAGCTCAATATTATCGTCAAGGCTTCGACACGTTCGCGGATAGTATCATAAGCTGATCTTTCTCAATGATTTGAGGTCGTGCCGGCGCAGGATATTAGGTTACGAGAGTGGAGAACCGATCATCTCAGCCAATGAAATCATCCGATACTAAAGTTACGTTGGCTAAGAAGCTGCAATATACGAGCTTTGCCAGAGCACACTGGGACTGTAGACTAGTCACTGTCGCTTACTAAGCGATTTATTTAGTGCCAAGGTTGACGAATTTCTCCACAACAACCCGACGCCCTGAGCAAGAGGAAGACACCACCTAGAACTGTCAGCAAACAAGGGCGTCTAACTTCTCCATAGTATTTTATCCGAATCCTTAAAATCTACTTTGACCCTAAGCTTCAGTGGGGCTCTCATACCAAGCGTATCCAACAAAAGTTATACACTCAAGTAAAGTCAATAAGTAGATTGAAGCAGTCATCTTGAGGTGCAACATTCGAGAAGTTAAAGCTTTTCTACAGCTCAATAGTTAGGCCAGCCCTCACCTATAGGCCCCCGATATGGGCTGCAACTGAACCAGCGGGTAAAAAGCCAGAAAGGATAGTAAATCTATTGCGAAGTATTCAACAAAAATGCTTGAAGCTGGTCACACAGGCATATAATTCTACCAGTAATAGGGCATTAGGTCATGAATGCTCAATCTTTCCACTAGACGTCTACCTCAAACAAAGAAGGGCTTAATACATCAAATTGTTAGGAGGACATCCTATCAAGTAAACATTTCTATCAGCATGCAATAAAACATCGCAGATCGATGGCCGAAACAAAATAGTCATGCCAAGGTTTGAAGCCGAGATATCACCAAGTGGACCAAAATCTCGACAATAAAAAGGGATAGATGTCTGGTTACGTATTTGTATTTATCACATGAAAACTTGAGGTACCTTCATATCTGGGAATAGCGTGGGCGCTATATAGTAATTTCTTAATTCTTGTACATATAGATGACATCTCCGAGGAAGAGGAGAGAGACAAGGAAAGATGTAACGAAATATACTTCCTCATTACAACCAAATTGTAGTATAATCATCACCGTAGAAGTGTATTCCGACAGCAGAATAGACAAAAAGAAGCTGGTAAGATAGCAGCATTCTAGGAGTGCGAAAGCACATGGAAACCCTTTAAGAAAAGCGAAAATCTTCCTTTTTTTTGCATCAGATTTAATAGAAAGGAAGAGCATTCATGCCTGAGATTTCATTTGCAAGTACCACTGCGAAGTTGTGGCGGCTTTTTCTTGATCCAAAATTAGCCTTCATCCGTATATACCCACCCAGGGGAACATCTGAGAAACCCTGAGGTATCCAGACATGCCTCCATCATTTATTTACTTCTCTCCGCGCGAAATGTAATCTGAGGTGTTTCCTTCCCAAGTGGAGTAGGTGCCCAGGCTACTCGGACTATAATTCGGAGAGATGACGACCAGGAGGCAGACCAAAACACCTCCCATTGTTGCCTGTTTTTAGAGTGTCGCTTGCACTATCCGAAATCGTTGCTTCTGCATCCACAGATAATCTTAAGTCGAAAACACTCGAAAAATGTGCGTCCCAGCTGCCTCTCCTTCCTCAAGATTTGAAGCCCCATTAGAGCAACGGTCCCCCATAGACCAAGACCCGAGCTTTGTAAAATACAAGTTAGTTTCCTCCTCGCAGGTATACATAGCATCGTAATTTTGTAGTGGGAGATGGCCGGTTTTAGATGAGGCAAATGCCCGATTGCAATTGGATTAACGCCATTATCGGTATTTTAGACGAGGTGGTGTGGTAAGATTGAGGTGGAGGACTCGCGTGAGAATGATAGGTCCGACATTGACGAGAACTCGTCGACTTTAGGTATGCTTGTGAGTGCTTTCTGTTGTGATGTGATTATTGCATTTACTCTAAATTTATCTCTGCCAAGTGCCAGGGATACAACACATCTATGCGAGTACTGCACAGCCCTACATGGCTATCATTACGATGGACTATTGAGGCGCAGCTCTATACAATGGCATAGAGTAATGTGGGATAGTACTGCATGGAATTAAGATTGTAGTACTTCATGCATAGACGGTGATGTACTGTATAGCGGGTACCAAATATGTGTATATAAGTCATATCTACTACTGTGATATGTAGAATAATATAACCAGGCTATTCATCATATCATCAAGCTCTGATAATTGTTATCCACCCTCTGCACTAACCCTAGAATATTCAACATCTCATACCTACTCATACCTTAATCACAACACTTTCGACTTCGATTTGGATGCGATTCTTCTTGGATATCCCAGATATGCAGAGCATACTGAGCGATTACACCGGCACCACTGGAAAGTGAAGAATTCGTCTTTGGCGGCACTTGTTCTTCATGATTCATAAGTGTTAGATGTATGTATGTATTCTAGTCGTATCAGGCAAAAACCCTACTCCCACGAGGCGTGATACGGGTATGTGATCCATGCGGACCCACTACTACCTATATGAAGGGCTACTGCCAGAGAATTTATAAAAAAACATAGACAGATTATAAAATGAAAAATAATGGCGTCCGAACAAATCCGCTCTGCGCCTTGTCCTAATTTTCCCACCAGCTATCCAAAGGAAAAATATCTAAGACCCCTGGGAGTGCCTAGGCTTCCCGGTATATATTTTGTGCACCATAACATTTGGTGTCGGAATACTCGGGTGATATTTATATCACAAGCTTTCTATAGCAGTAATAACAATTGGTGGTTAACATTTTATCTTCTCCAAATCCTTTCTAACTAAAGGGAACACGTATATACAGCAGTTGTCCCTCTCTCCTGACGCCATTCCTAAACAGGTAACTCATTACTCATCAAAATAATTAGTCATCATTTCTAAGATAATACATGAAAGGTCATTAAGTCATTAGGTCATTCGAAATTTGGTTATAGTCACGAATTCGAAGAATTTCTCCCATCCATTTTCTGCCAGCATCTCGCTCGCCCTCAGGGGGGGTTCCCGTTTAATACTTTTCCAACGCTGTAAAGCTGGTCGGCATACTGCAAAGTGCCACGGGCATTTTTCTCGTCCGCCGTCACACTTGCTGACAACATCTTCATGCTTGAATCTTTCGTGATATTCGACGAAGTCACTGTGTCCTATCCTAGCCGCAATCAACCTGTGGTACGCCCA